TAAAAGATAAAGATATTATTTACCTTTCTCTTTATATTAATAATGTGTACTATACGCGAAATATTAAAAATAAGTATATTATTAATAGTAATAGGACTAATATTTAATACTACGGAAATTGTATAAACTTCCGTAGAAAAATTAGTCTTATAATTTTGTATGTATGTCTGCCTATCGCTCATGTCATTAAACGTCTTCAAAATGGCACTAAATTAATTAAAACATAATTTATTGCAAAAATTAACACTAATTTAAAAAAAGTGTCATCTTATATATAAAATTCCCGTGTCACAGTTTTCGTTCACATCCTCCGAAACGGCATGACCGATTCTCATGAAATTTTGTGAGCGTATTGAGTAGGTCTGAGAATCGGCCAACATCTATTTTTCATCCCCCTAAATGTTAGGGGTAGTCCACCCCTAAATTTTTTATTTTATTTTAAGGCAAAACGTTTGCCGGGACAGCTTGTAGATATATAAATTACAGTCACTATTGATAATCCTAATATATTTAAACTTGGTTAATAAACGCACCGACCACAGTGGTATAGATGTTTATCAAACCGTCTTGCCACCGATAGTCGCGGGTTTCGTCTACTAGCACGATACAAACAATTGAATATGATTGTTTGTAATTTAAAATCGTGTTTTAAATGTATATTATAGGATGTACCTATTTCCAAAAAAAACATTATCTATGCATTCATAACAGTTGTCCAGAACCAATAACACAAGCTCTGCATAGCTTGGAACTAGATGGCGCTGTGTGAATTGTCCTAAGATATTAATAATAATAAATAACCCTGGACAATTAACACAGCGCCATCTAGTCCCACGGTACACAGAGCTTGTATTTTGATAATAGACCACTGATATAAATACATAGATATTTTTTCGTAAATACATACATAATATAAATAGAAAACACCCAGACCGACACAAACAATCGTACTCATGAATACAAATGTTTGCACTGTGCGAGAAATCGAACCCGCGACCTACACAAGTAAAACAGTGTGCTTAACCGCTAGACCACCGAGGCCGTCAAACCTTTATATTATAAAGAGTACATATATGTGATAACATCCTTTTAAAATATACAGTGAAAATGTAAATGAAACGATAAACATATCCCATAAAAATATATAGTATAAAAAAATCCTTTAAAACAGGTTAAAGAACATATTCTCTACTACAAAACTACGTACAATTGGAAATTGCCATGAAAATCAATTAGTTGCAATGATAACATTGTTTATTCATATCAAATGAACCATACACATGTTGTATGGAAAATTTATGAGTATACCTGAATACTCACACTGTGACGTATCAAATTAATAGTAATTATATATCAAACATATTTACAAACTAGCTGTTCTCGCGACGTGAAATTTAACTTTATTTTTCAATTATTTTTTTGTTCTTGCGACTTCGTCCACGTGGAATTTAACTTAATTTTACTAAATTTTTTTTTTTTTAACTTAAAGTAGCCTAAGTTACTCCTTATTACATCAGCTACCTGCCAATAAAAGTCCCGTCAAAATCGGTCCAGCCATTTCAGAGATTAGCCGGAACAAACAGACAGACTGACAAAAATTGTAAAAAATGTTATTTTGATGTACCGTATTTATATTCATATGCATGTAGTAAAGAACGGTTATTTCAATATTACAAACAGACACTCCAATTTCATTTATACGTATAAATGTATAGATTACATAACATAAAAAAAGTAATTACATAAAAACTATTACGTACGTATAATGGACAGCATTACGAAATGTCACCGTCTACAGAACACAGACCGTAATGAGATGCGTCTGGTGGTAACCAACCGACAATTACACCAATTGGGTGCCCGGACAGCACTTGATTGAATATTGAAAGATGGCAGCCATGTCGTAAAATATGTATCAGCAAAAAATATAGCTAACGTTCACGCAATCAGCGCTCCGTGCCATTTGACTGTTTAAACACATCCATAGAAATAAATAGAATTGTACTGTCCGTTTGTAATTTCAAATTAACATCTACTCCCTAAAATATCTATATATAAATAAATGTATGTGTCCCTTTGAAATCAAATAGCTAATCACGGATAGCATATGAAAATACATATAGTACTTATATCAAAAAGTAATGTCTGTTAGTTCATGATAATCTCTGAAACAGACAAGTTTGAAAATTAAATTTTGTAATGAAAGACCGAAAGAAATGGCTAAACCGGTTTTCATGGGACCTATTTTTTAATAGATATATTAATTTATATGGCGAAAAAATTATTGCTGGGTCAGCTAGTATATAGTAAATATAGGTCTCTATTCTAATATTATAAAGCTGATGTGTTTTCGCTGAACACACTAATCTCAAAACCAACAAATTAAAAAATCTTTTAGTGTCAGATTACCTATTTATTCATGAAAGGAAAGAAATAACATCACTCTATAACCAATAGAAACGAAGCCTTATTGATAAATGTAGCAAAAACAGGAAAATATATAAAATTGATTCGTTTGTTTAAACACACTAGTGACTGGAAAATGCCCGTCCAATTAAAATAAAATTTTTGCATTTCGTAACACTGTAATTAAGGAATGTTTTAAGCATTCTAGTCTCTTACTAGTCCTCAACTGAAATAGCTCGGCGAAATGGACAGTAGGAATAGTAAAAAAACGTAAATGTTCAAGTGACAGATGTTGGAAATGAATAAATTATTTTGACTTGGACTTTGATTTAGTCATTTCTTAGTTCAATAATCACAATAATGTAACTGTTAAATATTTATAATGTAATCATACTCTATTACTCAATATCATGAATCTGTCAATGTCAGTAACTGTTTTTTTTTCTGTTCCCTGTAGGTATATTCGCAATCAGTAAGTGTACTATAATCAGATTGGTTGGTAAATGTATGTAATAGGTAATAATGTAATAGTCATTTACAAACATATGTCGAAATGCTGGAACAATTTACCACCCCCAATTCAAAATATTATTCAGTTTCATCTTTTAAATATAATTTAAAAAAATATTTACTTCAAGTTCAATAATCCTAAATGTGGCAGATAAATGTGATAGTCATATATACATATATATTGAATAAATATGTTACTTGTATTATATTAAAGCTAAATTATTCTACACAATTAAGTCTTTCAATCAACACTTTTACAAAATTTTATACTTATATATTTTTCTTCCATTGATTACACATACTTATAATTCATCCATTTAACTCACTCTTCATTTTATATATTTAAATTCACCACGAATGCTATTTTCTTTTTTTCAAGTGGCTCCACTGAAAATCAGCGCTGTAGTGATACACTGCGGCACCAGCTCAGTGGAGGAGAGTGAGCTTTCAGCTCATAGCGAATTATTCGTTTTTTTTTTGTTTTCTTTACTCTGTACGATGATGCTGAATAAATGATTATTATTATTAACTTGTCTTAAATATGTCAAACATCTCTCTCTCTCTCTCTCTCTGTTAAATGTACTTGAAATGTATCCCACGTTTTTTGTATTCTCCTTAATTTGTATATTTAATTTCTGTTATAAAAGTAATAAAACAGTTGAATACAAGTTTTTATTATCCATTGGCAATGCTCTGCCCAATATTAACCAACCTGACTTCATGCTTATCCTAACATCTCCACTGCCAGAGTAAACACAGCAGTAATAATAATAATCTCAAGACAATTCACACAGCGCCATCTAGATCCAACTTAAGCTAGCTGAAGCTTTTGTTATGGTAAAAAAAATAGATATTTTTTTTTGTAAATACATACATAATATACATAGAAAACACCCAGACCGATACAAACAATCATACTCATGAATACAAATGTTTGTGCCATGCCAGGAATCGAACTCGCGACCATAGGTCATAAAGCGGTATCCTAGACCGCTAGACCACTGAGGTCGTCAAATGGTAATGTATACTATAGAAGATATATTATTCTATATTCACTAATTCCAAAAATTCTGTGCATCGTTATATCAACATAAAATAAGGGTTGTAATTTATTTTTATATTAGTTTAATTCAAGCTGACAGTCAACCTGATAGTAAGGGGTAATCATTACCGAAACATATAAGAAGCTCCAAAGACAACAGTTTACCATGTGACATTTGAGGACTGAGTGTCAGTATGTGAAATTATAGGATAGAGTCCTTTAATTCTACAGCCTTATCGGTTTAACCGAAATCGGCCAGGATTGCTTAAAAGAGAGCAGAGGGCTTAAGAAAGCAGTTTGACTGAAATAGATAGACAGAGATATGCATACAGCTACAGACAGTACTTTATCAGACCTGCTCTCCGAAAAAACAGCTGCTCACAAGGTCCTGGAAAGTATGGTAATGACAACACAAAAAACATAAAACATTGTAATAGTGAGGTCGCTCCATGGAGCCTATGAAGACACCAGGTTTCTGAACTTCTGGAAGGAGTTTGGCTAGCTACTTCAATAGTCTTGGTATTACATGCATAACAGCCCTATATGAGAGGCTAAATGCAGTTAATAGAATCCAACATACAATATGATATACACACAGACAAGTTTTTAAAGTGTTGTATTTTATTTATTTTAGTTATTTTAGAAAGATTAATGGTGTAATTCTACATGTTATTAATCATTGTATAATTATCACATGCCAAAAAATTCCAGCAAATAAATATTTTAATAACAAAGTTGTGAATACAGTTTAAGTACTATAAAATAAGGGAAAATCTAAAGATAATATTAATATACCTTCACGACTATTATACCATATGGGGTATTTAGAAGCATTTCCTACTGTCAATGCTGTGGTGAAAGTAACACTTGATATGTCCACATTATGCTGGATAATTTTGATTCCAAATAGCAGGAGACGAGCATACCGCCGTCACTCAAATTCAGGGTCGAAATTAGTATCCAATTAAGGAAGCGCCGTTTTAAGATGATTTCAATGGGATTGGTTTTCTTTCAATAATAACCTTATAATTTTAAATCTTACCTTCTTCGAAAGCCTGTTTCACGGTGTACGCTTGGCCTCCATTTTGCCGCCCATTTCCATACACAATATTCCCATTTTCACCAGAATCTCCAGGATACGGCATGATATGTAATCAGACACTGCCGCACTTAACCTAAACTATAAATCTATGAAAGTAAAGTGGCCACTTAATTTCAAATAGGAGAACTGACTCATATGAACTACTCTCTGTGATAATATTACAAAATTAACTCAAATAAGTTATATTACAGAGAAAGTAAAATAGTTCAAATAAACTTGAAATTGAGTAAAGTAGATTGCGTCAGATTCAAACCAATTTTTTTATACCCAGGGTTGCCAGATACTATAGTGTTCATATTACTAAACAAAGATGTATGTAGCAAGAAATTTAATAATTTTTAATAACAATAGTTGATAAGTATAATATGATTAATAACTACAGAAGTAAATAAAAAAACCGTAATTTTTTGTATCATATGTATTGTTATAATTATAGTATCCTCTGGTTAATGTACAGAAAAGTTTGGCCGATTCAAATTATTTTAAACTCAGGAAAACACATATTGTTTAGGTAGTAGAGATACCTGAATAATAAAAAATATATATTTTTTAACCTTACAAAAGGTAAAATATAAGAAACGAATAAGATTATAATGACGCCATCTTTAATATATTCGATAAAATGTAAAATTATGTATATTAATATAATTTTACATTTTATCGACTTTAACAATCAGACTGTAAGATTTGTGCTTGGCACTTTTGGCGAACATGAACTGTGCAATAATGTGCACAATAGTGCACATAAAGTTAGCAAGATATTTTGTTTATTACAAAATTTAAGCGCGTTTTACTGCAAATAAAAGATGTTGCAAATCAGTTGCTACGAGCAGCATTGATGTTAATTATATATGAATAGAGTCGTTTTATAAGTCTTATTTTAAGGTGCTGGAACGGACAGAATATATTTGTATTCAAACTTTATTCTTTTTCACCGACCTTACACTACATACATAGTACATATATAAGTAGGTACCTGAAATAGTTTTTTCATTGAAACCATACGTATGTATGGTTTGTAAAATACTTTACAATGTAACCGATCTCTAATTACCAATAGATACTAACAATCCCCAGGAAGAACCTATTTACACAAATAAGATAATATTATATACTATTAATATGTAGTATAATTCATTATATAAGTATAATAAATTTTATTGCTTGTCTGTGTACCTTTTCATCAAACGATTAAAAAAAACCTTAGGTTTTCAATTTCATTCATCGACATTCATACAAGAAAACACGAATTATATATTATGTTGTTTATTTAAAAATAACCTTATCATTATAAAACAAACAAATATGCAATGGCAACATCGAAAATTAGAAAACTTATCTTTTAGTGTACATTTTATGAATGGACAATATTTGCGACTTGCGCACATTTTAAATCTACAATTTATTAAAATATACAAACGACACTATTGTTATTGTTAGATTTTTTTACAGTTGTATAGATAAAGTTCCTCTTCTATTGCGGAATTCGTTGTTTAAATTGGCCGGGGCGCCGGCATTGGACATAGCTTGAAGTAGCATATCATGACGGAATCTAGACAATAAATAACATGTAAATATAAAAAGACTTGTGGACTTTTGTGTGATATTTTTATGGATGATAATGGTTACGCAGGAGGTCGGGTCATTACAGTAGTCTATCTTGGCAAATGATAATTTACCATAATGGTTTCCAGGGTGAACCGTGTAGAGGTCAACCTGACATGGTGCATCGCTAGCAATGGATTATTAGTCCATATTTGATGGCGTTGTCGGTGGTCTAGCGGTTTAACACACAGGTTTACTTCCGATGTTCGTCGGTTGGAATCCTCTCACGGTACAAACATTTGTATTCATGAGTATGATTGTTAGTATCAGTCTGGGTGTTTTTTATGTATATTATGTATGTATTTACAAAAACATATCTATGTATTTATATCAGTGTTGTATGGGTATACTGTCAGTTGGATGTTTCTAATTATTACAAATCCTTACTTGGTTTTGCCTGCCTGGGCTTCCATTTTCGCTGCGGTTTCACTGTCTTCCCGCCCCTAATCCTCCCCAAAATGCTTAACAGTCTCTTCTTCATGGGTTCCTTCAACATCACCAAGTAGGGCGTCATTGTTTCTTGAGTCATTGGGTTCTCGTCTTTGGGCCAAGTTCTCCTATAAAAGAAAATAACACGTGTTTTTTTTGTAATTTGTTTTATTTGCTTTATTTACCCTAAGGCCTCCGCTGAAATCAGCGCTGTAGCTTCGGTTGCAGCAATATGCTGATCGGAGTCCTTTTTAACTAATATTTTATAGTAGCATATTGGTTTCTGATTGTTTTATTATGTATATAACTAGCTACCCGCGGCAGTTTCTCACGGGTACTACATGTATATACACGGGTTATACATATAAACCTTTCTGTTAACTCACTCTATCTATTACTAAAAACTGCATTAAATCCACAGCTGCAATTAAATGAACAGACAGCGGTAGAGACTTTATTTTATACTATGCAAAGATTTCTGGCGTTACCCATACATTAATTTTGAGTTTTCACCAATCGGCGGCAGCTCGTCGACTATATGGTACAGCAGAACATCGTTCGAGCTTGGCAACAGTCCATTCCGTGATTCAGATCCCATGTCAATATTGCTTCGTTCCTGTGAAATAAGTATGAATAAAAAAAAATAGGAATATATTTTTTTATTTTATTGTTCTTTGTAAATTTCATTCCAATTTAATATTGGTTAGTTTTACCTAGTTGATGTGGAGCCTGTATTAAGTTAAGAGTCGGCTCGTGACCACCGCTAGTGCAACCTAATCGAAACGTCGAGAGAGGTAAATACCTTTATTTGCCATAAAATTATTCGTGTAAAAACCCGATTAATAATATAAATAATTAAGTTATAGTTTCTGTAGATAAAGATTTCTGATTCCTCCGACATTACCCGTTAGTTTTAGAGTTTAGTGCAGGAATTGCTGTTAAAACATTTTGTCTATGTCAATTCATGTAAGGTGTACAAATATATAAATACATAAATGTATTGCTGCCAATGAAATTACATAAAAGAAAATACATTTAAACGATACTTAATTATTCATTCATTCATTCATAATTTAAGAGCTACGCTCTTGTCGGTGGAGCTCTTGCCACTTTCCGCGATCTTCCATCATGCTCTTTAATTCTTGATACGACACGACTCCCATTTTCTCCTCAATTTGTTTGATGTAGCTATTCCTTGGTCTTCCCCTCCCCCTCTTTCCTTCTATTTTCCCCTCAATAATAATTTTCATGAAATCATCGTGCCGTATCAAGTGTCCTAACATTTTTCCTCGTCTTATAGGCGGCAAAAAAACCCGGTTCAGCATATGTATGTATATGTATTTTACGATATTTCATCTACATGTATATCTTTTTTTTTATTTGTATTTTCTATGTAAAAAATATTAATTTTTGGACCGTTAAGCAGCGCGCATAATTTTATTTACGGAACTACACGACCAACACTGGGACTTCATCCGTACGTCGTGGAAATTCCGCACATTCGCACTGAGCGGTTCGCATCGACCTTCCTAATACGCACTGCCAAAGAGTGGAACACACTTCCAGCTTTTGTGTTCCCGGAGAAATACAACCCCGGATTCTTCAAGTCTACGGTAAATAGATATCTTCTGGGCGCGCTTACATCCTATATATGTAGCGCGCTTACATCCTAGGTCTTGCCATCATTTACCATCAGATGAGGTAAGACCAAGCGTAATCCCATTATTAAAAAAAAAAAAATATTTCGTTAAATGAGAGGGACTGACTGAAAATCAGCGCTGTGCAGCGTACGTGTAAACGTTACGCTCACAGCATCAGCTGAGTCAGCAGCTTTTGTCCAGAATACGCAGTGTGAGGTACTACTGTTGCTATTTTATACGTAGTTTTATTAAACTCTATTTTTTATAGTCCTTGTTCAACAAACAGTGTACGAACTCAAATTTATATCTATCTTTTGTTCTGGCAATAAATCAATATTATTATTATTATATCTGTTGGCATATAATAATAATAATATTTATTTATTGCTTTATATTTATTTATGCTCCTGTGCGGCGATGGTTTTCAACCCCTTTCTACCAAATTTATACATAATATAAAAAATAAAATGTATTAATATCTAACGACTTCTGAATGACACTTTGTGAACAGAGTCTTAGTCCATAGTTCAGGAATGGTAACAAGTCATAACACGGTGGTCACATGACCACACGGTATTGTCAATGTATAATAGTAATATCTTGAACAATTCACACAGCGCCATCTATTCCCGAGCTAAGCAGAGCTTGTGTTATGCGTATTAGACAACTGATAGATATACTTAGATACATTTTTTTTGGAAATACATACAAAATATACATAAAAAACAGACCCATACCAATACAAACAATTATAGTCAGGAATACAAATGTTGGCCGCACGATACAAATATTTGTATGAATTAATTGAATGTATACTTGATACATTTTTTTTATAAATACATACATAATTTCTATAATTTCTTGAGAACCCATAACATAAGCTCTGCTTAGCTAGAATGGGGTTACGAGAATTGTCAAGGGTTGCCTTACCATAGAGGCCAAATCGGTGTCCACCTCGTCAGGAGGCGGGTCCTCGTAGACATCGGCTGCTCCTCCTAAGGCTACCATCAGGACCACGACGGCGCTGCAACCCACGTAAACTCGACTGGACATTTTTCTTTATTATTTCCTGTAATTTCAAGAGAATTGCGTGCGGTTTCACTTGCTTGAAATTTATAGCCTATGTGTTAGTCTGATGTATAACCTATATTATTGTAATGTTTCATTAAAATCTACTCAGTAGTTTTTGAGTGAAAGAATAACAGACATGCATCCATACTCACAAACTTTCGCATATAATATTAGTAAGATATTCACAATTGTTATCCTAGATAGTCTAGTCATATAGATAGATAGATAGATAGGCTAGTCTAGGAAATTGTAAACTGTTATTGTCGTGATGATTGCAACACTACAGTAAATAAATATTTTTTTAATAAACTGGTTTTCCTATTCGGTTTTTAGTTCTTAAATTAATACAGACTGCACCTGTAATTTAATATTAAGATACGATCTTCTTCAGAGCCTGTACACCTGTGCGGAGCCGTGAGTCATTAGTTTACTTATAGCAATGAATAAATATACACCCTATATAAAAGTTGTTTTTCGAACAATACCTGATATCTGACGTTCGATCTATAATTGCTGTCTCAAAACGCCTACTACTATTGTCATTGCAAAAATAACGTGCCGTCATTTGATTGCTATACGGCTTTGGAAAGGTAGAATAGAAGTTTATTTTTATCAATGAGTTATTATTGTATTAAAATTTTGATATTGTTAATTGTTATCATGTAGTTATACTAATATGATCAATTTTAATTAGACAGTACAAATATGCGTTACAGAACTAAATATTATGACGGATTCGGTAGTCTAGCAGTTTAGCACACCGCTTTACTCGCGGGTTTCCTCGCTCAATACAAACATTTGTATACACGAGTATAATTGTTTGTATTGGTCCAGGTATTTTCTATGTATAATATGAACGTATTTACATATAAAAAGATCGGTTGTCATATAAATATGCCGTAATATATTTTTTTTTATTTAATATTTTACGGCTCTGGATACAAGTCATTTTTAGCCCAACATAAAATATCCGTTTAATATTCCCATCAACTTCCTTCCTTCTTCCCACATATATTATTATTTATAATTCATAATACGTAGCGTATATTATTTGAATTCTAATAAATCTGTGCGTCCTTATTATGAGAAAGCGATAAAAATATCCTGGACTACGATATGATTCACTTTTATTTGCTTTTGAAGGAGATTAAGAAATAAATAAATGATGTTCGTTTATTTTCAATAAAATATAAATATGCTTATTAAATTATACTTATTTATAAACATATTAAAATTGTTAGTTGATATATTGTACATTTTTAAGTTGTTATGCTTAACTGGGTTTTCAGTTTCAGTCAGTTGCAATAAGTTCTCATTTGGAGTGATTAAAATTAAAAATATTACGAATATTATTATTTATACCGAGGTAGAATATAATAGAATAGTAGCTCGTACATACTATTTCTATTCTATTCTATAATCTTTTTAAAAATTCCAAGCGAAAACTTTATTTTGTAAAAAAAAAATGCAATATAAAAAGGCGAAATATTTAAAGAATCATTCCAAACTTCAAGAACAAGAATATGCGTTCACAAGCATATGCTTATGGTTTCCAGATTTTTAAAACTCGACAAATGCCAAGTAACTACAATGTCTTATTATTTTTTATTCAATCATATAAAAACTCGGCATGAGTGAATCGGAACATGTTTTAAAAAAAACTTGAATTGCCTCCTTAGATCTCTTTGAAGTGAAGTAACTTTTATATAAAACGAGAAATTGCTCATGCATATCTGAATTATATTTTCCATTCCTTTGTCTGTTTTATTTATAACTAGATACTCGTCCCGGCTTCGCACAGGTGTACATGTATTATATATATAAACCTTCCTTTTGAATCACTCTATCTATTAAAAAAACCGCTTCAAAATCCGTTGCGTTTTAAAGATTTAAGCATACATAAGGACGGACAGACAGCGACAGCGACTTTATTTTATACTGTGTAATGATTTCACAAGATGTACAAGTAGAGGACAAGTTTAGTAAATGTAATAATTATTTGCTGACTAATATTAGAAGCTAGTTAGTGATGATTGCAACTTCGTCATCGAATGCATTTGTAGACGCCAGCTAGTATAATAATATGTAATTTAAATTATTAACCGGGTCTTAACACGAATAATTTTATGGCAAATAAATATGTACGGATACCGTGAGTGCTGTGTGTCGCGAACTTTCGTTAAACAATCTAGTGACGGTAGATAAAGAAAAAACTGCTGTCACCTATCTACATTGACATCGCTGTTACTCCAGTCAGCTCGTGACCACGGCTAGTGCAACCTAGTCGAAACGTCGAGAGAGGTAAATACCTTTATTTGCCATAAAATTATTCGTGTTAAGACCCGGTTAATAATTTAAATAATGTATATTAAACACGAAAGTTTAAAATTAACTATAATAATATGTAATATCAATGAATAATTAAACACTAAGCAAATTATATTATGGGTAGGACATACCTACTGGACAACTGATTTAAATATATATAGATAGATACATTTTTTTTATAAAAAAATGGGTTGGGAAAATGTAATTGCGGGAGACATGGTGGAATGCGAATTTTCTGAAGACGATGTCTGGGACAGGTAAAAGCGGCGTGGACAAGGAAATCTGACCCCACTACCATGTGGGATATGTAACTAGGAAGAGAGAGAAACATTTTTTTATAAATACATACATAATAAACACAGATAACACCCAGACTGATACAAACAATCATACTCATGAATACGTTTGCACCGTGTGACGAACCTGCGACCATCGGAAGTAGGGTGGTGCCCTAAATCGCCAGACTGGCATACTATCGCTATACTACTTAACTTGGGATTAGATGGCGCTGTGTGAGTTACCTGAGATATATTAGGATACAACAGTTGAATGAATCATATGAACATTAAGTACACATATTAGAAAAGAAGTGATAAACAGACAGGCAGATAAACATAGACATTGATATTAGTATGACCACAGATAAGATAATATTACATAGTATGACCCAATTAAGGTACTCCTAATTACAACTACGCTTTACAAAAATCTCGTAGCTACTATGCTACAAGGTCTGTAGCGCTCCCGTGCTACGAGCGGCCTAGCTACTACGCAATTACCTACGCCGTAGCCTTACGGTGTATTGAATTTTCTCTCAATTTCCCGGCACTGTAGATAGATAGATAGAATATATGTTATTGGATGGAAACTGGATTGTTAGTAATGTGGATTGATGATCTTATTGGTAGCAATGTACGAAAACAAGTTGACCTCCATGCGATTCCTCCTGGAAACCATCGTGATGAATTATTTGTGAATTTGTCACGATGGGCTAACTGACCTGACCTCATTCTCATCTTATCATCCTCCACTGGTGCCCCACCAGCGTAAACCGTTAGCGCAGACGGGTGCACTATTTCATTATCATCTATAAATATATATCTACTTTATTTGTAACTAGCTACTCATCTGGACTTCGTACGAGTGTACATGTATTATATAAACTTTCTCTTGAATCACTCATATCTATTAAAAAACGGCTTCAAAATCCGTTGCGTAGTTTTAAAGATTTAAGCATACATAGGGACGGACAGACAGCGAAAGCGACTTTGTTTTATACTATGTAATGTACAGTAATGAAAATAGATAACCAATATATTAAAGAACACATGTATAGTTACAAGATAGCGGTCTTATTGCTGAAAGTTTTTTTTCAAGACAACCATAGAGAAACAGATTTAAATGTCGAATATATATGTAATATGAAAATAGGAGAAAAGTATAAAATAACAAACATATAGTGATAAAGACAATAATAATAAATATAATATGAATTAAAATGTATGTAAGGCTTCTATTACCAAAGACTAATCTTAGAAATGTGTATAAATATTCTCACTAGTGTGTGTAATTTTTTTTTTATTAATTTAAAAGCAAACAAATATTATATGTATGCTTGATTATCACCACCGTAGTATAAAAAAAAATTCTCACCGTTGATTCACGATATAAACTATATTATTCTGTATGTAAGTAGAAATTTACACTTATTTTCAAAAATAAAAATATTTATAAAAATCGGTTATACTCATAACATTAATACTCGAATTAAAGACAACTTTGTTCTTGGTGTTGAAATTGTGAATGGATATTCCAAAGAATACTCTAGAATTATATTAAAAAAATAACTTTTAATTTATATTGCAAAACATATTTACTCAGTAAGCGATAACTTAAATAACAAACCTGTATGTCAATAGTTCATGCATATGATTGAAATGATTGAATTATTGATTGATACAGAATTGATTTTCTTGTTACAAATTTTCATTACATTTAGCAATGCTAAAATTACTTTAAAAAAAGGAATCCAGTTGAATTTCTTGCCATCAATTGAAACTGTAGACTGATCTGAGCGGTAGGTAAATAAAAAACTTTAAAAATACTAACTTGGATATATCCAGCAACTAAAAGACGACCTACGGGAATATTTTTTTAATTAATTTTTCAATTTAAGCATAATTGTGAAAAAAATAATTTTCATACCTATTTCATATCTATATATTAATAAGTGAAGCTTTTTACATAATTTGCGCGAACGTTAAAAACAAATTGACTAAATGGCTGTTAGTGCACTGTATCTACTCTATAGATGATTATTTAAATTATAATTACTATGAATAAAAATGTAATGTGATGAAATAATAATAATAATTGTAAAAATATTATATAATAATCGATAACTATTAAATTAGAATATAATTGTTATAACATATGTGATTTTTAGGCTTAGTGATAAAAATTTGCATGCCTACTGTAAAAAGGCATATTACAGCGCTGCCTGATATCCTCATTTTTTAGATATCCTCATTGGCTTAATTGTTTACTATCTTGTCTGTAATGCAAATAAACGACTTACTTACTTACTAATATTTTTAACACATATAGTAAAGGAACAAGGAAGGAGTGCAAAATCCTAATGTTTTTCAATATTA